AACTTCTCGGAGAGTGCGATCTTGCCCGGAGTTGTCTGTGCCGGTCGGGCTTCGACCTCGTTCTTGATATTCATCGCCAGAAGTAGTTCCTCTAATCGGCTAATGCGGGCGGCGCTGGCTTGATGAGCAGAAATAAGGATCTGTCGGTCCGCGCGGCAATCCTCCAGAGCTTGTCGGCAATCCTCTGCAGCTTGTCGACGTTCGGCCTGTGTTTCGACGATGAACGCATGTTGAAGTTTGAAGACCGACTTGAACCAGTCTTTAGCAGTCTGCATATCTGCGGCGTCCGCCGTGCGAGTCGACCCGGATGTTTCATGAGCTGGGGCCGTATCGTCGGACATCGCGATGGCAGGTGTAGTTTCAGAAGGAGGTGGGTGCGGGATGGTTGGGTTGGACTTGAGATGTTTGAGTCGGCGTTGTTCGGCGTTACCAGATCGGATGATAGCCTCAGGGTCCGTTAGCGGGAGCAGCTCGTCAGGGTCGGTATTGCTCCTCGTAGTCATAAACCAGCAATCGCGTAGCCTCGAAAGGAAGTGGTCGAAAAGGTAAAAGAGGAGACGGAATAAGAAGCGGAGACAATCGCGGTTGAAAAGAAAAGAAAGGGGGGAAGCAGGAGGGCCAGTAGAGTATGTCAAGGCAGGGGGGTCAGTCGAGTATGTTCAGTGAAGTTAATTCAGTCAAGTCAGTCGAGGCGAGTCCGGTATCAGTCAAGTGGAATTCGTCGAGGCGAGTCCGGTATCAGTCGAGTGGAATTCAGTCAAATCAGTCGAGTCGAGTCAAGTAGGTAGTCGGGGTAGGGTCAGTGTGAGTGGTTTGGTGTGAGAAAAAAAAAGTGTAAGGACTGGGAAAGTCCTTCACTGAATGAGCTGGGGAAGGTGCTGATGGGACGGGCTAGTGAGCCTAAGCGGTTTCTAAGACCAAACACGGGGGGGATTTGATTTCTGGCTCAGAGAGATGGGAGGACAGATCTCTCAGTACAACCTTGGATAGAAGAAGACAAGAAGAAAAGAAAATGAAAGAATGAATGAAACTCACCTGGCTCAGAGAGATGGGAGGACAGATCTCTGCGGAGCCAGGAAGGGGACTCAAAGATGAAGACTAAAAAGGGGGGTGTGACATCTTGGTGAAGGGTTTGTGAACCCAGCCAGAGGGGGGGTTTACATCATGATGTCGTCTAGGTAAGCTGCTGTGTCCTTCCCAATCCGTCCCAACAGGATGTCTTGCATGAAATATTGAAAGTACCCTGGTGCTCCTGTTGGTCCAAATGGCATAGTCAATGGTGCGAATTGTCCTTGTCGACAGACAAAAGCCAGCTTCTCCTCGTCACCTTCCGCTACACGTAGGTTTCCGTAGGCGTTTCTCAGGTCGAGCTTGGTGAAGGTGTTGGCGTCAAGTAGGCTGTCAACCAGGTCCATAGTCAGGGGTAGGGGGTACTTGTTCTTCACGGTAACAGCATTGAGCTTCCGGTAGTCAAAACATGGGCGTAAGTTGCCGTCTTTCTTCCCGGTGAACAGCACTGGTGCTGCCCAGGGCGAAGTGGTTCGTCTGATGGTGCCGTTTTCTAGTCCTTCAGTGATCAGGGTTTCAAGTGCTTGGTTTTCGGCGGGTGACAGGGGAATGATCCTGCTTGCTTGGGGAAGGGCTCCCGGCACCAGGTCCACTCAAAAGTCGTAGATTCTTCTGGGTGGCAGTTTCTGGGCACTGGACTTGCGGAACATGTTGATATACCGGTGATAGTGGGTCGGGACTAGTTCTTCTGCCGTCTTCACAGGGGTCTTGGCCTTGCTGTCCGCCGCGAGTTGAGCTGATGTTGACCAAGAGGCTTTGGCGGCGCTGACATCTGCGGTTGGAACAAGTTCTAGGAGGGGAAGAGGCTTGCCAGCTGTTTCAACAGAATTTATGGAAGGGACCGCAGCGAACTCACATTGCGGGGGTGTTAACGTGTCAGAAACACACACCCCCTTGCCAAAAATCCTAGCTTGCCTCATGGGCTCCACGCCAATAGATGAGGCCTTTGTTGGAATTGGCAAAACTGGCTCGGCAGTTGCAATGGTCCTGTCTTTGGTGGTTGGGATCCGGTCGGTGGTGCTATGTCCTAGGAAGGGAAGAGGCTTGCCAGCTGTTTCAATAGGAATTTTGGAAGGGACCGCAGCGAACTCACATTGCGGGGGTGTAAACGTGTCAGAGACACACACCCCCTCGTCAAAAATCCTAGCTTGCCTCACGGGCTCCACACCAAAAGGTGAGGGTTTTTTCGGACTTGACGAAGCTGCATCGACAGCTGCAAAATCCTGCGGGGTTTTCCTGAATTTCCGGTCGGTCCAATTGATGAGGTGTCCATGCTTACGGATCCAAGGCATTCCAAGGATCCCGTCGTAAGAGTCTTTCAGTCGAGTGATGATGAATGGGGAAGGAGATGGGTCGGTGTCAAGAGTCAGGTGGATATCAAATGAAGAACGGCTTGAGGAACCGTCAAAACCAGAGATGGTACGATGAGAGGGTCTGGCAATATCAAGGAGTCCCGTAGACTTGGCATAAGACTCGCCAATCACGTCATGGGTTGCTCCAGAGTCAATGAGAAAAGTAGCGGGAGGGAGTGGCGATGGGGTTGTGGCTCGAGAATGTTTGGGTGGCACAATGGGCAAAGAAATAAATAAACGCGGATCAATTTGATTTCTTGAAAAAATTTCACTGGCACCAATGCTAACAACAAACAACTCTCCACTGCTCAGGATAGGCACATCCTTCATTCCTGAGCTCCTCCATTTTTTGACGACTCCGCTCTACTGCCTCCTGCCTTCAACTGTTTGACCTCTTCTTCGAGTTCGGCGATCCGGGACTTCTCCTTCCCTTTCCCCTTCTGTCCACGGTCCGGGCAATCCCTCGAGATGTGGCCTTGGTTCCCGCATCGGAAGCACTGGACTGCTCGCATCATCCTGGTCTTCTCCGCATCCGAAAGGCGGCCACGCATGACTGATAAGTCCATCACATTGGGGTCCGGGGTCTTGGCCGTCTCAGTGGGTGCTAGACCGTGGAGTTCATTGTCGATCTGCAGTGTCAGCCTATGTGATGCCAAGACACGTGTCCTCTAGCTACACAAGGTGCAAAAAGTAAGAGTTTTTATGGCAAAAACTCTGGGATAGAACTGGTACAGGTAATCCAAAAGAATTACGTGGAATTTTATGGATTAAATCAAAAAATGGCCAATTTATATTAATAAAATTAATATAAATTAAACCAGAGGGGCCTGATAAATCAGGGGTGGTTTAATCCCTCTAAGGTATCGTGCAAAAAGCAGAGGATTTAGGTACCTGATACACTGGGGCCTGTAGCAGGTGTGGTTTAAATCCCAGGAGATAATGTTTAGGGGAAAATCTTCAAGAAAGGGTTATTACTCACTAGTAATAATCCAAAGGGGTCTTGAGGATTTTCTTAGTAGAAACTGGACAGTTGGGAGCGCTCAGAAAGGTTGATTTTGGGTGCTGGGTGATAACTGGGGAGTTTCTTGAGGGTTCTTGAGGCTTTTAATAACAGCAATTATAGTAGTAACTAGGCTAATTACAAGTGTAGGAGACTTGTAAAGGGTAAGTAAATTTCTATAAGGTATTGTAAAGCTGGGGGATCATTATTTGGGCGGTCAGAAGGCCCTTTAAATACCTGTGGAAGGCCTCAGGGGTTGCTCAGGGGAGCTTAGTAGGACTTGGGGGCGCTTTTGGGCCCATTTTGGCCCACATGGTGATGTAACCAGGGCTGGAACCTTGGGGATAATATTCCAGAAGCTCCAAGGGGTCATGCACGAAATTATTACAGCCAAGAATGTCCCATGGGAACCTGTGGATAGGGGCTACTCTGTTACGTGGAGCAGGTTCCTTGGAAATGGGCCACAGAATATTCCAGAGGTGTCTTCTGAGGCTTGCTACACGTGTTACCCACTGGAATATGGTTACTGTGAGCCTGGGTCTCAATAGTGAAAGCAGGACACAAGGTTTTTTGGGGGGCACTTTTAAATGTATTTCTCAAGATAAAGGAAATACAAGTAAAAGTAGAAGAGAGGGAAGGAAGAGAAGGAAAAGAATAGAATAATCTTTTTTGTTCTTTGTTTATTTTATGAAGAAGATTAAATTATGGCAGTCTTACTGTCCCTCTTGGATAGCTGCAGACAGTCTTACTTTCCTTAGTAGGATGGCTGTTATAAGCGGAGCTAACTCTGACGCCTCCAAATCAACAGAAACTGAAATGGGTATTGACACTGATAAATCAGGTCAACCACAATTTTTTAGATCAAAGATCAAGGCTCTTTAAAGGGAAACCTATGTAGTTTTCAGTTGTACTACCAAACAGGAAGAGAAGAGATAATAGAAGCTAAGGCTTGCTTTCTTTGATCAGGGCTTTGGGTTGAGGTGGAGTGAAGGGAAACTGAGAGAGACAGAGAAGAGAAACAAGCAGAAAGATGCTAGCTTAACTTATGAGAAGAGACTTACTAATGATACCAATGACACTGATTAGTGGGAAAGGTAGGAAAAGTGAGGTCCTTCTGGGTGATAAGTGTTTGCTTGATCTGGGTCTGGTTGTTGGTGTTCTGTGTTGGTCTGGAGTCTGAAAATCCTCTGGAAGCGGAATCAACAAGCTCAGAGAGGATTTTCAAAGTTGGATTATGTAATCTGGCATGTACATGTGGTAGAGGGAGCTGAAACCTAAGGTTGGAATAATTCTTGGAGTACTGTGAATTATTACAAAGTCAATGAAGGAATGGAGTTGGGTAAAAGTGGTCAGTGGTGACTAGGGTTAATTTTACACCAGGAATCCATTTCTGAAGTCAGAAAGGTTAAAAGTCTTAAAATAAAAAAGATATGATAATATTTGAATAGAAATGGGCAGTTTTGGAAGTCTTTTGGCCAACTTGGTTGGCTCTAAGGCTGACAGTTACTGTAGTGTTTTCATGGATATTCTAGCTTGTTCACATTCTTATTACACGTGTGGGGGCTTTGTTGCCACGTGAAATGGGGATTCTGGGGCTTTTGTGGCCCAATCCTTGGATACTGGTGCGCAGCATGACTACGTGGCACATGGGCTTGGAGACAGGACTCCTCAATGCTCTATCTTCTAAACCGTGCACAATACTCCATTTCTGAGACTGGATTTGGAGTATATGCATTATGCATTATGCAGAAGTGTCACAGTACCCGTGATCTGGGGGTACCTGTTAATTATTCATGTTTGTATTACAGGGTGAAGGAGTTAGAATTTGGGGTACCTTTGGCTGAGGTACCCTAGGTTAAATTGTATGCTGATTCAGAATCTGCAATAATATTTCAGGTTTTGTTTATACTTTTTAAGTTATTCATTTATTTTTATGTATTTTTTATCTTATTTACATAAGTAATATTGTTTCTTTTACTTATGTAATATTTTTAATTTATACTTAGATTTTTTATGTAATTTATTATTTTATTTGCTATGACAGGTTGTCTCTGCCATAGTAGCAAGCTGACATGCAGGGCCAGGGTGGCGATGTCGGCCAGTTCGGAGAATTCGGTACGACTCATCAGCAACATCAGGCGTATTTGGGATTGCAGGCCTTGTCTGTACTGGCTGACGAGGACGGCGGGAGCCCAGCCGGTGTTGTGGGCGTGCAGGTTGAACTGGTGGGTGTAGTGAGAGACCGACTTGGTCTGTTTGAGCGCTCGTAGGGCTGCTTCCGCCTTGGTCTTCTTCTCGGTGTCGCAGTACATGGCGTTGAACTGAGTGTCAAATTCGTCCTTACTGATAGCTTCAGTATTGCTCATCACCTTCTTCATCCACGGTTGGGCCCAAGAGCTAGCCGGTCCAGTCAGGTAGGACAACACAAACACCATGATGGCGCGGTCGGTGCCAAAGAGGTGTCCGTTGGCCAGGACATAGAGGTTTACCTGGTTGATGAAGACCTCCGCTTTAGCTCCACGGGTGCCATCAAACTTGTCAGGGACGCCGATCTTCGGGCCTTTGGCCGGCGGGGCTGGTCCTTGCGGCTTATTGTCGGCGTTCTTCAGGGCCTTCGCCAACTGGGCCTCCTTCCTGGCTAAGCGCTCCTCCGTCTCCTTCCGGACCTTGCGTTCCTCCTCGACCACGGCCAGCCGTTGGGTCAGTTGCGCCTGAACCTCGGCGAGTTTGGTGTCCTTCTCGTCTACATCCATAGCAAAACAGTACGGGGCGGCTCACAGAGTGGCAGGTAATGCTTTGACGGTGTGTAGTGACTTTGGAAGGTGCAACTAAAATTGTGGAGGCTTACTTTTGTACTTTTACGCCTCACCAAACGGCTCGTGTGAGCTCTCTTTGGGGATCTGGGGTGTCTTGGGGGGTTTCTGGGGCCTCTCAGGGGGTGTTCTGGATGTTCGGGGGGGGGGGGGGGGTTCTGGGGGGTCTTGGGTGTCTGAGGGGTGGCTTGGGTCTTTCGGAGGTTTTTCTGGGGGGTCTGGGGTTCTTACTGGGGGTTCTGATGGTTCTGAGGGCCTGGGTGTCCTCTCTTGGTTCCTGGGGGTGAGCAGGGGTCTTACAGGGGGTTTTGGGGGTCTAAAAGTCCTCCACTCCCTCTATCCTGGGGTTTTGGGGGCTGTGGGGCGCTCTGGAGGGCCTTTTGAGGGCTCTGGGGCGCTCTGGCAGGTTGCTTGGGGGCCTTAGGGGGCGCTGGGGTTCTAGGGCCGCGCTGGGGCGTCCTGGGGCGCTTCGCTGCGCTGCGGGGGCCTCAGGAGGCGATCGCGAGGCTTCTGGAGCCTTGGGGAGCGGTCGGGGGCGTGGGGGGTCTCCCTGGGTCGTCCGACGACGATCCGAGTCAATCCGGGTCGTCCGACGACGATCCGGGGTCGTGGAGGGGCTTGGAGGGGTTCTGGGGGGTCTCTGAGCGTTCAGAGGCCTGATCCGAGTGATCCGACAGCGTTCCGAGGGTCCTGGGCGTGTTCCGAGGGTCCTGAGACGATCCGACGACGATCCGACGAAAAAAACCAAACGATCCGACGAAAAACGCCAAAAACGACCTCCTGGGGGGCCTGAAGGGTCTGTGAGGGTGTGAAAGAGGGAGAGGGGTGAGTATCAAGGTTGATAGACAAGGTTTGAGAGAGGTTCAGGGGGAGTATTTTCAAGGTTTGAGAGGTGAGTTTTCAGGGTTGATTTTCAAGGTTTGAGGAGTGGTGTTCTGGGTGTTTCGTTCCTGGTCTCCGTGTGAGTTGATCTTGCAATATGTTATGGGTGTTCTGGGGAGAGCAGGTGAGGGATCTTCACCCGGGTCGACACCCTTTCAACTATTGTATAGTCCGCCATGGATTGTAAATCGGACTACACAATAGTTGGCCGCCGCGCTCAGCTGTTCTCAAGAACTCTCAAGTAATCTCACCAGAATTTTGGGTCAGTTTGACCAACTTGTGCGTTTTCACTTTCGGAGCTCACCTCCATTCAAGTCCCAGAGTCCGACTTTCCCAAAAGGACACAACACCCCCTACCGCATTTCACCTTGGCCACACTCAGCAACAAAACCGTTGAACTCAACCGCACACTACGATCAAAAATGAACATCAATCCACTCATCCTCGGTCTCAATGGACAACAACATCTCCCACCCAATGGCAACCATCAAGCACACCATGGCCCCATCACTCACCAGCTCGGCTTGCCACTACCCCCCGGCTTGTCAAGGGGTACCAACGAATACAGCTCATCCCCTCAAGATGGTCGCTCGAGAAAAAATCAGAGACTCACTAATTCTAATGGCAGGTACGTGTCTGCCCATGATTCTTATATCGGCGACCATAGTTCATCACATTGACCCAGGTTTCTTCTCCCAGCACTCGCCTCGGCGGTACTGGCGTTTTGGACGGTAGCAACGTGTCGATTGCCGGGACTCTTCGTATTTCTGCTCCTGGCACTTATGCTAACGGCAACAGCACCACTCTCGGCATTCATCACGACGGTTCTGCTCCGCGCACTCGCACTCGTGACAATGGCTCTGACTCTACTTCCGACATTAGTTACAACAGTCACAGATCAGCTGCTTCCAGCACTCGCCTCGGCGCTACTGGCGTTTTGGATGGTAGCAACGTGTCGATTGCCGGGACTCCTCGTATTTCTGCTCCTGGCACTTGTGCTAACGGCAACAGCTACACTCTTGGCATTCATCACAACGGTTCTGCTCCGCGCACTCGCACTCGTGACAATGGCTCTGACTCTACTTCCGACATTAGTTACAACAGTCACAGATCAGCTGCTTATACACTTGAAAACAGCTCCGGTATTCATCCTAACAGTCACAGCTATGCTCATCGGACTCACAACCACGGATCCAGCTCCAATCCGGCCATTCATTACCAAAGCACTCATGACAACCGCTCCGACTCTGCTCCCAGCATTCATTATAACGGCCACAAATCTGCTCCTGGCCCTTGTGACAACGCTTCTAGTTCTGCTTGTCATGTTCATTTCAACAGTCTCTCTTCCGCTCCTGGTCTCACTCATGACAACAGCCCCGGTTCCACTCCTGGAACTTGTGACACCAGCCAAAATCCTGTTCCTGACACTCACCTTGCCGACTCCAGACTGAATGGATTAGCTCTTGGCAGCCAACAGCAACATCCTAACAAAGCTTGCAACTTTGGTGATACTCATCTGAGTGGCCAAACGGGCACTACTGGCCCTCGCCACACTGAACATGTCTCTCATCAAGCCTCCACTCTCCCGGATACCAACCAACCGAGCGATCAGGCATCCACGGTCCCCGATACAAACCAGCTACGCAATCAGGCCTCCACGGTCCCCAATACAAACCAACCGAGCACTGTACCTGTCCCCAAGCCAAGAAAGCCACGCAAAAAAAAAGCACCAGTGCCGGTCACAGATGATGGCGCACAGGCTGTCAACCCCAATGGGAATGTAGTCAAGTCCACCATCCCTGCAGGCCCCACACAGCGGGAAACAATAACTCGATTCCTCAATGAAAATAATCCACCTCCCGAAATTCCAGCAGCGGTCCAGCCAACCATGGCTGAATTCATGAACAAGACCACCGCTGAGATTCGCAAGATTGCGCAGGATAAATCTAAGAAGGTTATGACAGGCGAAGATGAAGCCTTCTTCTTTGAATTCTACGAAAAGCAACAGCGCAAATTAGCTGCTGCCGCAGTCCAACGACATGTGTCTGTTGGCATGGTAGAACACTTACTGTAAGCTCAACTCTATTCCTAAGTCACACCCTGTATCCTCTCTGACAATTCCCTCCACTTCAACCAAACAGAGGCCAAAAGCAGGCGGTTCGCAAGGCCTCGGGCTGGAACAATTTCCAGACAAAGCATAGCAGCTTATTCAAAGGCAGTAAGCATTCACTTGTGTATGTTTGACTGCTTCAATATTCTGACACAACCTTAAAATTTCCAGAAGGGAAGGGTGTCCGAGGTTCTGGAGCCATGAGTGAACTATCTGTCATGTGGACTGCCATGACTCCAGAAGAACGAGCCGCTTATGCAACTGAAAATCTGTCTCCCACCGAGAAAGACCCCACAAGATTGAGAGTAAACTCAGAATCACTCCGGCTAGCAGAGAAGCGTGTTGAAAAATGGATGAACACCTGGCAAAAAAAGGTAATCCATTGATGCAACCACTGTTCAGAGATATGAAAGCTAACAAGATGTGGGTACTACCTCATAGGCAGTCAATATTGCTGCAAGCAATCACTGTGAGATTGTCATTTTTGCAGTGTCATCTCACCTCTGTGATTACAGTTTCCAGAACATTCGAGCCACACCAGGTGCCGCCGAATTTGTCCGTGAAATTACATCTTCAGATGGGTTGAAAAACTACCAAAGCCGACTCCAAGCGTTTCTGACCGGTGCCCGATTAAATCATATATCAGCTTCTCTTGCAAAAGAGACAAGCAAAAAAGGTAAGCTACAAGTTTCAATTCAAGTTATCATTTATCAATATTGATACCTACTTCCCTGAATGATTAGGTCAATCTAAAAGTGAAGTCACTGCCACTCGCGAAAAACTGGCCGAATTGGTTGGTAAGTAAAAACTTTTGGGGTTGCTCAATGTCCACATTATTGTTAACTTTGTGATGGACCGCAGATCACGCAAAAGATGGAAAGAAAGCCAGTTGGACCTGGCAAGGATGTGATGATGCACTGGGCAAGCTGGGCTACAAAGTTATCTTCATGCCTGGACATGTCTCTCAACCCGATTGGATTAAATCTTACAGCAACAGCCTCCGGCCAACTGAGGCCAAGTTAATCAACCAAGACATCGACAACGGACTGATCCGAGTCATCCATGATCAAGATGCACTCATTGGGCGCACTCGGACTATTAAACAGAAAGCTACTCAGCCATTAACACCTGGGGAAGATCACTCAGCTAATCAGCCTCCACCACCTCCCAATGGCCATCACCAACAAACCAATCAAAAGAAAAAGTCATGCAAGACGCCACCTGTCCCTAGAAAGCCACGCAAAAGGGCTCGAGTACCTTTGTTGACACCTGAGGAGCAATTGTTGGATGAATCCTCATCTGAATCCTCCGAATCCGAGATAGCAATTTGATCACCAAAACGACAAAGGACCCAAAATGCCCCTGCAGTGGACACAAATACCTTATTGTCTGGTTCTAACTCCGAACAGGGCCCCTTGGCCAATGATTAAGCCTAATCATTACCATTGTTTTCCTCTTCTCAGAAGTCCCTAAAATACCTTGCCTGTTTCCCTCTAGACCAAGAATGGTCATTTATTCTGTTTTCCTCATTCTCTTCTCCTTGGAAGTCCCCAAAATACATTCGCTTGTGCCTCTATGTGGTGGGACCTTCTGATATCCTGATGTTTTTCTCTGCTTGTACATATTCATTTGGGCTTATGCCTCTCCACTAGCCTGATCTTGCTCTCAGCTATGTTCACTTTTTGTCTCAACTAGACACAGTCTTGTGTGGCTTGCAAATCACACACTTTGCCTCCCAATGTTGAAAAACTTTCTAGTGAGAAATGCCAGACTGAATGAAATGTTTGAAACCCATGAGGCAAACCATCTGATCCAAACATGAGGTTACTGAGTGTATCTGAGCTACCAAACATGTGGTTTCTCAGGTTGTCTGAGGTGAGGAACACATTGATGAATGTGTGTTCATGATGGACTGTGTATTCTTTGGATCAACATTGTTGGTATTTTGAACTCAAGTTTCAGTACAGTGACCAAATGCTAGTCTTGGGATATGTTTGTAATAGAGGTATGTGTTGTCCAAAGACTTGAGTTGAGTGGCCACCAAAGCTGGTGCATCATCACAACTTCTCTGATTACTTAACTGAAAACCAGGGTTGCATCTTTGTTGTGTCATCTGCTCTTGATGATCAATTGCTTGTACTTACTTGTACAGCTCCCAACTAAACAACACTTGACACTCCCCAACCTCCATAGGCATTGACCCAAAAACAGAGGGGAGTCTCCTGAGTCATTAATACAGAGATTTTATTCATGGCTGTCAATAAGAGACAAAAAGTTGTTAAATCACTTCTTGTAAGTCTTCTTTTGCTGTCCCAATACAGCAAGCAAGTAACCAGACAATGTATATCAAGTGTAGTATTGTACAAGGAAGCTGATAGATAAAACTACAATCCAAAGTCACCACTAACATCTTCCAGAGATGTTTACTCTCTTCCTGTCTTCAGTTGTCAGCAGGACCCAAGTCATGAGCCATCAAGTGATGATGAGATGAATTCTCTTGAGTGTAATGTCTGAGGAACTGTGACCATTCAATGTGGATGATAGATACTAGGTTCATGAATCCTCAAATGGCATACAAATATGCATATAATTTAAGGAGCAATTCATCTCCTCATTGATAGACTGACTAATTCCTGGGGTCATACAATGAAATGATATGTTTCTGCAAAATTATGTTGGCTATCAAGTTAACTTCATTGTGGAGCAAGCAAAGAGGTCTGATTATTTAAGATGTGTTAAGGCTGTTTTAAGATAGAAGGACCACAATACATACATGCACACACCTGTACCAAAATCAACATTTGAATAAATTTATCCACATGTTCTGAATCTGAGCAGTCAGGGATCAAATATCCAAATCTTCAGAGCAGATGAGCATAACTGCTGAGATTGAGATTGAAACCATGATGAGATGGACTGGAGACAAGAGTGTTGGAATGGATAAGAGATTCATATCAACACAGAGAAACAGAAAAACAAAGAGAAGATCAAAGAGAGACATACCTGGAGACAAGAGTGTTGGAATGGATGAGGAAAAAGAGAACATCCAAGCACTGATGTCTCCAGTATAAGAACTAAAGAAAACATGAAGAATGTCACAGAATGTGACATGTGAGAAGTGAAATCTGAAGAGAGCACAATAACAACTGTAGATATGGAAACAAGCAGTGAACATGTCACAGATAACTCAACAGACCAATTCATCAATTTTCAGAGATGATCATGCCACAATCACACTTATTTCTGAATTAAATTTCTCTTTTGGTTCCAAACACCAAATGTGGAGTTTGGAATTTGTGTAGCTATTTAAAGTGCTGCAAATTTAATGATAAGAATTCAATTTGTGAATTCATCAAAGTCAAAACCAGTGCACATTAAATAAATCACTAGACAAGTCTTGATGTCTGGAAGGTTAAACGCTATAAATTTGATATGCACAAGTTCATAAATTCATATGATTCCGTGTTTGCCTATGGTTGACTCATGATATGAATGTAGTGAAAGGGAAGTGGGGAAAAATACAATCTCAAGCAGTTCATGCAGCAGGTAGATACACCAAGTTCAATAGAAAAACTCTTGAGTGCCACATCTATGTCAGTACCAGAATGCTGATGTTTCAGATTGCTACATGGGTGACACCAAGCAAGAGCATAGTGTAAGTTGTCTTATTGTTTACTTACAATGACAAAGAAAACACATACCATTTTCCAAGGCATTATTGAGAGACTCCCGCTCCAGAGCCAGCTCAAATTGATCAGCATCTCTGACAGCAGATGGGGCTAAAAGGTTATCGTCATCATTATTGTTGTCTTGTTCGTCAGGCCGTCCATCCTGAGTATTGGTAGGGGCAGTAGTGCCATCATCATCTTGGGCAAGGAATTTTTGTAGGACTGATTCATCAACATTGTCCAATGCATTACCAATTGCATTGTCAAAATCACCTGCAATCATGGATAAGTTACCACTTGCTCTTAACAACGTTAGCCTCATTATTTGCTCGTTCCAATCGTTTACTATTTTGTTATTGTTCTCGTAAGGCCCTGATTCAGAAATAAGGGAAACCACCTTTTTGTTCCAGTGTAACTGGAGGAATGATAGCTCGATAAAGTGGTTGTGGAGGATCGATTTTATTGAATCCATTTGGTCATCATCATTTGATATCGTCTGTAAGATTGGATGATTCAACACAGATTGGAGCCCAGAATTGGTCCAGTCAATGTTGGAGGTGAGTCCAAACATAAGTGGAAGTATTCGCTTATGCTCGGTGACCGCCCAACGAGTTGCCCTGCGGATTTCTTGACTGATTCGCCGCACTTCTTCTTGACCTCTTGTGAGACGTGCAAGCAGTCGCATGCCATCCTGAGTGTCAGAATCGACAGCCCAAGGCTCTTCGTGGTTAGTGAACACACCGTCGTTCCAAAATGGACTGTCTGGATCCAAGCTCATAAGCTCATCATATTCGATTTGTCTTATTGTTCTTAGCAGGGGAAAGGCCAGATGAAAAGCTTTGAGGTGGCGGTTATAAGTGTTGAGGACGGCTTGTAAGGCTGCAGTGCGCTTCCGTAGTGAAATTATAAGTCTTTCCTTCCCATCGGTCCCTGAAGAGTTGATAACGGATGAATGGATGAATGGATGAATGCAATGTTATATTTCGGAATATTACTTACCCAACTTAGAAGCTACACCCATTCTAACAGCATCAAGGGGCCTCTTCTCCTCAAGTAGAGCCAGAAACTTCTGCCTGAGCTCGGTTTTAGCCCACCAAACCTTGAGGAAAAGTGATTCGGATTCAGGTGTGACCCCGGCGAGGAGTTCATTAGCACCAACTCGCTCACGCTGCTGTTCTATTTGGAGTTGAATGTCCCGCATTGTCCGTACTTGTGCAAGGATCTCCTCCGGAGCCCGTATCTCCTCCCTAGATAGAAATTTCATCATGGTCAGATTGGAAGTGTACAGCTGCATGCAGGCCATCTGGCAAGAAGAAGCTGGAGAGACCTTGAGAAATATACATACCATGCTTCAATCATATCTTGTTCCAATGTAAGCAGTCGCCCAAGCTCAAGCTTCTGTTCTTCCTTCACATGATTTCTGTTCTCATAGTAGGACCTCTCTGCAATCCATTGTGCTTCAAAGAATTGTGCTGTGTAACACTCATCAGAGTAGTGATTGAACCGACTGTAGATTTCTCGCAGTTTGACATGGCAGTCCTCTATACTTTTTTGTGCTTGCTGAAGATGTCGGTGCATCCAATCAACTGAAATTTACAAACAACACTTCAATTTCTGTGACAAGGGCAGAAACTGGTAATTGATTTGAAGCAGCTCCTTACCAGCTCCTCGTTTGAGGCTTTGAGTATAGTAGACACATTGGCGTGCAATTGCCTGCAGCCGATGTATACGAGTTGCACTTCGGAGTGGACCAACAAGGTCTGACAATTGTGACCACAGCCGCTCCATCCCCTCACCATCAGCTAAGCCCCAGTTGGTATTATAACAGGGATTGTACTTTATTTGACATGCCCAGTTATGGACATAGGCATGAAAAACAGAAGTACCAAAGGCAACACGATTGATCCGGCTGCCTAGTAGGTTTCGCTTTAAGCGGATTTATGAAGTAATGTTGTATCAGTAAGTGCCAATCAATCAATGCAAGTGAAACAAAGCTGTTTCAGCACTTACCTTTTTGACATGTGCATCCAAGTGGCATCCAATGTCGTAAAGCAGTCCAAATTTCTTGTCTGGAAATGTTTTAAGGATATCTTCAAGTATGCTGACAGGATAGTAAAGCCTAGTTAAGATTTCAAAGTAGGTAAGCAAGTAAGCCTCATAACCATGATGGCCTGTGGCAATTATTGATGAGATCTAATACACACTTTTCACCAGTTCCCTCAATATTATTCAGTTTCAAGGGTATGTCATGGCGACAACAACACCCAAACAGTCCTGTATCATCAAATTTGTCCCAAGAGGCTGAGTTGCGAACATCATTTGCAGCTTTGTGAGAATCTGAGCAAGATGACTACCAGATATACATAAGATATACATGAGCAATTGAAATGATAACAATTTGGTTCAAAATGACTGAGATACAACTAAAAAGCGAGCTCACCCTGATACCAGCTGCTTCTTCATCAGTAGATTGCAGTTGAATCACATGTGTATTGATTTGTGAAGGAGGGATGAAAATTGGTGGATAGTCGCTCTCGGTAGGAACATCAGTACTTGCAAAATGGTGATGCCGATGCTGAAAGTTGCCGTCCATAGCTATAATGGCATATGCTTCATCGGTAGCACTTACTTCATCTGGTTCCTCAGGTCCAAAACAGGAGGGGCACTGGGATGCCCACAAGTCTTGCTGTTTGAGTCCTAGTGCAGTGTTGAGGAGTTCTTTGTGAAGGATTTGGATTCGACCATAGATATCCATTGCTTGTGAGAATGGGATCCGAAGTTCACGAGGATTGTTGAAACGACTCCGAGCTAACAGCGGATCACTAGAGCGGGTGTCTTGATGGCAGATAAGTCCTTTGATGAACGATGTGTATGGCACGGCTGACTCATGCCACAGAGATTGGTACAGCTGGACAAGAGGTATGGCAAAGGCTGTTCGAGGATTTGTGGGTGATGCAGCGATGTACCCATGGTACATGAGTCTTATTGGGTCGGGTATACATGAGCAAAACTCAATTTGATGCCCAGGAACTCAATCTGGGGAAAGTTTCATGGTTCAGCTATTGGTAGAGTGAGCAAATCATTGAGAATGATTGACTTGCCATGAGTATATATCAAGTCTACAGCCCGACAACGCCGTGTGGTGCATACACAATCTTCCAGGGGATCTAGGTACTTGGTTCCACTTGTCCAGTTTCGAGTTTGATATTGGCATGTAAAATAAGTAACAGTCATTAAATTCTCAATTGATTTCCAGGCAACCGAAAGCTTTTCCCTTCGTACAGCATATTGTGTGATCATTTCAGGAGGAAGGACGGTGGGATCGGTGTCGCGTTCCTCGACATCATGGAAATCAAAATCACCGTAGCGATGCTCTTCTGGTGCCGGATCTTGGTTTGGAAGTTGCGTATCTTGGGTAGACCGGGGAGGTGTAAGAATTAGATTGGGCCTCATAGCTCCTTGTCCATCGTTGTGGTTGCGTGGCTGTAGGTTTGCAGGAGCTCGTCGATTTCGTAATGTTGGCTTGCGTCGGAGGGCAAATCCCGTCCGGCTCGTGGAGGGTATTGATGCTGGTATCGGTGGCTGGTGTTATCGTGAGGAGAGTGGCGCAAAAAAGTCGGTCTTAGTTCAGTTCTAGAAAGACAAGTGTGCAAATGGGTTGTTTGACACCAATGGGACTCGAATGGAGGTGAGCTCCGACAGTGAAAACGCACAAGTTGGTCAAACTGACCCAAAATTCTGGTGAGATTACTTGAGAGTTCTTGAGAACAGCTGAGCGCGGCGGCCAACTATTGTGTAGTCCAATTTACAATCCATGGCGGACTATACAATAGTTGAAAGGGTGTCGACCCGGGTGGGGATCTTCTGGGTTCTGAGTCTTGATGGTAGATTGCAAGATGAGGAATGTACAAGGTTCGGATCTCGAACGAACTCCAAGTTCGAAGTTCGTGACATGTACGTAACAGGCTCTCTACATATCTAACGTCCCCAGTTCCAGTCCTCCACAGCTCATAACACACTGCCAACGACTGGCATCTCTATCACGTCCCACTTAAAAAACTTAGTGCAGCCCAGGGATGCAATTGTCCCTGAGCCGTCCCTGCATCAAGCATGCTGTCCCCAGGTCATCACGCCCCCACCCTTGTATACGTATCACGTCCCACACCAACTCATCCATCACCTAGCCGTTCCCACTCAAAGCCCATGACATCTGAGTCTCCCTGTGACATTACCCTGCTGTCCGGAAGCCCAACCAGCTTCAACACTTGACAGGGGGACAACAGTCATCCTCATGCATGAAAGGGCCCAAAAACTAGAATAATTGAGCAAAATAACATTCATTTGAAAATCATCAACCAGAAATCTCCAATCAAAAAAGAAGAATTCACCAGGATAAACACATCTGAAAAATTTGAAGGATTTTCAGACCTACTCTAGTTTATCAACTTGGAATTCCTTCAAAGTTTTGGACATTCAGAAGAATATTATTTGGAGGGGCACTTTTTTCTTCAGGATTGGCTTCTCAAAATCCTTGGAGAATATCCTGACTCACAATTAACTTCTGAACAAACAGCAGATGAAACTAGTAAGAAAATCCAAGCCTTCTTGCAAAGGTTTTACAGCATGTTTAAATGTATGCCACATATGTCACCAGGATTGAGAAAGAACATTCATCAGTTGGGAGATAGAAATGATAGAAAGCATTTCTTAGGAGTGCTGTATAAAGGCCCAGTAGATATTGTTAAAATTGTGTTAAATTCTATGATCATCTTTTATGCCACCAGAAACATGAAAAAGTGGAATTTATTGTTTGGACATGAAAGAAATTTCATCTTTCACTTGTTTAAAATCCAGGTTCCAGATTTATTCAAAGGTAGCCTTAATATGAAGTCAAGTAGTAAACTGAATGAGATCACTAAACTCAATGTACTTCCATGGAGTCAACCTTTTTTTTGGAGATAAAACTCATTTCTTAGAAGATAAAGTATTTGAAAAAGAATTCCATAGGATTTCACACAATTATATTCAATCTATATCACCAGCTAATGAACTCCAAAATTCTCTTAAAACTAATCCCCAATCAAGTTTCTTGATGAACACAAGATTAGAATATAGGTATTTTCATCTGCTTCAAGTAGACAGTCATGTGATGTATAGAATCTTAACATAATTAGCCATTGTGAAACAGTTTTATTTTGGAAGAGCAAAGAAAACTGTCCAAGAAAGAGAAGTCAAACGAGGAAATTCAATTGGTCAGACAACAAGATTGTTTTATCATCAATGGAATCCCCAGTCTGGCCACTCGGAAGGTCAAAATGATCCTTATTTGGCTTTTGATTGATTTGATTGAGACCAAAGTACCCTTGCAATAAGTCCTGATACAGCTTGATTGAGACATAAGTACCCTCACAATAAGTCCTGATACAGCAGATGAGTAGGGTGCTAGTTTTTAGAAATCCCTAATGATTTGTCCTGCCAAAGTTCATTTAGTTTGTGAAGAGCTTCATGAAGGAGATTCAGACATTTCTCAGTATCTTGTAAGAAATATCTGGCCATTGCACTCTGACAAGCCACCTGGGCCCGGATGATTCACTTTTGATGGGTTCGGTATTCTTATCAAATGGGGCCTTAAGCCAAGAACAGTTTTGAGAACAGTAATGGCCTCTTCATAATCTTTTTTTCGCAACCAAATCCAACGTATAGTTTGCTAACATATACCGTTGTTCAACTTCAATGTTTCCCCAATTTTTTTCGGGTCAGCCTTGGGCAAGAAGGCTGACTCCTCAGAGGTCCATTGCTGGTGGTGAATGGGGGATCAGCACCCCTGAACCCCATTCGTAACGACTGTCGCACAGTCGATTGTACATAATTACAAGCAATGATCAACGTTGGCACACAGCTGAAGGACTTCAACTGTGTGCCCACGTTGACCGTCTCATCCTGTTCTCATTCACAAACCATTTTCATCTTCCCCCACTGAAACATTTTCTCCAGTCTTAAATCACCCCTTTGGATCGGTTCGTTCGTTGTTCCAGTCTAAATCCCCTCATCTCCGATCAACATTTCATTGAACCAGGCTCAATCCCATGATATCAAATTGAAACCGTTCACAGCACGTCCGTCGTAGTGTCCCTAGAGGGGGAAGAATTGCCCTACAATGTGCTCAACTTGGTGCTAGTAGAATCTTCATTGTCAGTCGCAATCAGGAACAGAGACAATTCTAAACAACAATTTGAGTTCATTCAGGCTGATATTGCATCAAGTTTTGCTTTCATCTGGCCAGCTACATGCCCATCTTTCCCCCATCCTTACATTCGTGCTCTTTCCTTCTTTTCTGCTAAGGACAATCAAAACTATCAGAGAAACACGATGGAGTTCCAGAAAAAGGTCGGACCAAACGGATTTGACTATTTACTGATGACTCAAGGAGGGCCACTGAATGGAATATATGAAGAAAATTCATAAGGGTCAGTTGACCGTATCATATATTTCAAAATTTCACGTCCTTGCCCAAGAAAAAAAAAAGCAAACTGACAAAGTGAAAGGGGATTGGGATTAGATATGAGAAGTTGCTTGCTGTCCATTGCCTATCTTGCTTAGGTTTGAGTTACTTACTAGCTGAATTGAAGACATTGAAGAACAACCATGCAGTTGTCTCGATCCTGTTGCCTAGATTGAGTTACTTGGAGTAGTTTTTTAGCTTTGTTGTAAACAACCAATTGTATTTTTCTGTGGGTTATTGACAAATAAATACCATTTCACACTTTGATTCACTGATCATTGGTGTGGGAATACTGTGCATTCAGTTTCCTCAAGCTTTCTGGTGGTTGTGTGTGTGCTGCTCAATGACATCCTGCTGTTGCAAGAAAAATGCCAAAATGCTGTGTTGGTAACAGCTCAGAGACACCACATTGAATGATACTCTGGATGTACAATTTTGGAGGAGACGGCCCTCAAATACCTCCTGGCCATCAGTAGGATGCTTTGGGGGGACATCACATGGACGCTCCACCAAGACATCCCAGGGCTGGCCTTTTATTTTGGGAGGAGCACGCGCCTGGGATGCTCTGATCTGTGGGGGCGGCTGTCCTGGTGCCATCCCCCTGGACCCTGCCACTTGGACGTCCAAGTGCACTGGGGGTGTAGTAAACTTGTTTGGGAGATTGAGATCTTTCTGAAAGGCTATGGATCTGTCTCCAAAAATTCAAACCACAAGGATAGAAAACCTGCCTTGAGAAGTAAGACTGGTTATAAATCTCTCGGGCTTTTTATTCTAAGGGTTAATTGCTTGATGTTGCTTCTCCTGAGGAATTTTAATAGAGTACATAAGTTGAAGTTAGGTATAGGAAGTAAGAGAGATAAAAAAAAAACAATGAGGTGTTTTCATAAAACTTCATCACTCTCAACCTGTTAAGCGGTAAGACTCGGGGTTTCCAGCTTGAAGTGTGAGGCGTTATTTCCGGCGTTTCTGAGATGAAACTGATTGAGAGTATCGGAGATGAATTTGAATTGACTGGGTTCCATCACCAAGACAAGTCAATAACCTTGTTTGTGTGGGTGTAGGTAAGATGGGTATGCCAGGACAGGGCCGTTGAAGTGATGATTGGGGTTCTAGACAACTTCAACTTTCAAGCCCCCATAACAAGAGAGGTATATAACTCTACCTCTCCCTACAGTCTCTACTGGCCTCTATCATCTTGAGTAAATTGAGAATGTAGAATAAGCAACCTCACATATGTACTAAAATTTCACTCTGAGGATGGCCGTGTGAAGCCAACATTCCTGGCTACTCTTCTACTTTGGGGCATCATTTGATTACCTCCAGTATTGTTTTTGCAGAGCCTGAAAGGAGAAATGGTGTGTAAAATCACCCACACAAAAATCAAGACATACAGTCGACTCCCTATTAAGCCATACCCCTTGGTGGACATGTTTTGCTATGGGTTAAGGGAGAGTATGGGTTAACTTTTAGGCATC